CAGATATGTATTGGGTACCTAGAATGTGCCAGACATTATTCTAGATACTTGCAATATATCACAATGAAATCTAGATTCCTGTACTGCAGTACCTTTTATTCAAGGGGTGAGAACAAGATTCCTGTTCTGCGGTGCCCTCACCCCTATTCAAGGGGTGCTTGGTAGGCGTGTGAGGTAGAGAGAAAGGGTAAATAAACAACTAATCATTAAAACCAGTAACTGAGTAAATTAGGCTACAGTATTAAAAAGAGCAGATGGGGGATCTCATAGATAATTTAAGTTGTGATCAAGGTGAATGAGTAACCATGTAGATATCTAGGAATAAGTATTACAGGTAGAGGCTCTAAAGCAAGAACATGCCTGGCTTGTTCAGATACTCAGCAAGAACAGAGTGCTTGGGATGAGGTGCATAAGAGGAAACATTGTATGGGGGGAGGTCAGAGAGTTAACAGGGGCCAGAACATCATGCAGTGTCTTTGGCTCTTATAAGGACATAGCCTTTTACTTTATGCAAAACAGGAAGCCACTGGATGACTTTGAGCAGCAGACAGACATATCTGGGTTACATTTTATAGCATTATTCTAAATCTCTTTTAAACAGTTATTTATTTATTCAAATTTAAGGCTCTCTTTGAGAACAGACAATGGAGGAGGCAAGGGTGCAAGCAATTGGGAAACCAGTCAGGAGAATCCAGCTATAATTTAGTAGGTGGTAAAGATCAGGATGGCAGTAGTTGAGGTGTTAATAAGTGGTCAGATGCAGCAAACACTGTGAAGGTGGAATCAGGTGATTTTCTAAAGGAGCGAGAGGTGTCAAGAATGCTAAGATTTTTGGCCTGAGCAACTAGCAAAATGGAGTTGCTGTCAACTGAGATGGAAAATCTCTGGGTTGAACAGATTTGTAGGAGAAAGAAAATGTTCACTTTTGGACATGCTAAGTTTGAGATGTCTATTAGTTATCCAGGTATAGATGTCAAGTAAGCAGTTTGTGAACTGGAGAGAGATATTTGGGAGTCATGAGCATTGGAGGAATGGAAATCCGTGCTTCTGGATGAGATCACTAAAGAGTGAATGCAAATTGAGAAGACCAAGGACTGCACCTTGAGGCACTCTAGTATTCAGACATGGGAAAAAGAAGGGAAAGCCTAGCAAAGGAAACGGGAAATCACTGGCCAATGAGGTGAAAGGAAAACCAAGAAATGAAGAAGGTATACCCAAAGGAGGAGATGGTGAGCTGCTGAGTCAAATGATTCTAAATCTGCTAATGGAAACCAGAATTTTAAAATTCAACTAAATGGAAAAAATGGATTCAACCCCCACTTTGGCCATATAAATAAAAGAAGAAATTTGAAGTGCTTTTATATATCCAACTTAACGTCATATCATTGTTTAAAGGCCAAAAAGTTTCACAGGTACACAGAGAAAACAAGCGCAGGATCAGGGCCCATTAGTCTTAAGGAAGGGTATTTTCAATTCTGACCTTGACTGGACAATGTTGATCTCACAATCTCCAACTTATATACATTATCATGTAGTAGAGTGTTTGCTGCACCAAGTTCATGTGTTCCGTGTTGCAAAGAAAACTGTAAAATATGTTTTAGATATTTGCATGTTTATCTAGGTATTCACTTCAAAAAATTGGTGAAGAGACTTCTTTCAAAAAAAATTCAGTAGGCTACATACCAACTCGTTCCCACAGTAGAATCAGAGATTGGTGATTAATATACTCTATCCTGTGGGGGGAAAAATCATTATGTCAGAAAATGAGTGAGTCAGCAGAGAGCCCACCTAATAGTGTCCTTGACTGAGGAGGAAGAGGAAAACACAGTTCTGAGCATGAGAGCTCACATTCTGTTTCTACCAGGTGCTGAAGAAAAGCAAGACAAGGTAAGTTAGCGGATGGGGCTGCTTTATTAGGCTATACTGAGTACCTGGTTACTGCTGGAAATGTATGCTGTGTATGGACAAGAGTAACAGAAAAGAGAGTAACAGAGTTGGGTATCTTGGTTTACAGAAAGCCAAGAAGAGACATTTTGTGTGTAAGACACAAAATCTAGAAATGTTCTTTATATGTGCTGACAGTTACAAAAGCTGTGGAAAATTAATGAGGTGTTCATGTTTGCAGATCAATGGACTTCTGAACCATGCAAATACAATAGAAAATTTTAGACGAGTCTCTTCAGAACAAAATTATGAAAACAGATATTAGAATCTCCTTTTTCCCTTCCCTTCCCCTTCTCCCTTCCTTTCTTTGCCTTATTCCCGTCCCTTCTTTTCCTTACCTTCTTTTCTTCTCTTCCCGTCCTTTCCCTTCTCCCCCCTCTCCCCTCCTCTCTTTTCCTTTCTTTCCTTCTCTATTCTTGTTTCTCTCTTCCTTCTCTTCCTTCCTCTCTCTAACTTAGAAAATTAAATGTTCTTTTTGATTCTCTTTGTAATTAAGACTGAAAAGTTGATCCTGGGGAATCACTGCGCTGTGGAATAGGCAGCTTCTCTCCATCTTTCTCTCACCTTGACAGACTGTCTTTTAGGATTTCAGCCTCAGAATCCAAGTATTAGCTATGGCCTATAGTATTCTGAAAAATAATTTTTATCATCAATATGAGACTTTTAAATTTTTCTATTACTAATTATTTTTATAAAATAGAAAAAATCCATCTCAAATCATTTCAGAAAAATAAAATAATAATTTAAAATCATGCATATTTTAATGTTTCTATTTTATATATTTTGGTATCAAAATTGTACTGGGATCACAACATTTTCTTGCTGCTATGATATATTAATAGGCACTTAATCTTTATTTAAATAATCTACAAATATGAAAGATAAGCATAAAGTACTGAAGTTATCTATTTGAAATGTTATTTATTTTCAAAAGACAATATATACCAAAGGAAAACTAAATTGGCATATTTTAATTCTAGAAAAATGTATATTTAAATTTATAGCAAAATAACAATTATATCATTTACTAATGCTTACAGTATTTAAAATATGTCATTCTTTATGCATAATCTACTTTTATAAATGTTAAAGAACCATGTGCCAAGCATATATCTAAAACATTTTTGAAATTACTCCTTTCTAGCTGTGACTACACTGGCCAAAACAAAACAAAACAAAAAAACACAAAAGCTGAAATAGAAAAAACAACAACAACAACAAAAAACAACCAACACATGTAATCATCAAGTCCTTTTTTCCCCCTTGTGCTATTTTTAGCTAAAATTTCAGTACAACTGGAACCAAGCAGCAGCTTACATTTCATTTTCATGCCAATTGAATGCATGATGAAAAATCTCATTTTTAAAAAACTTTATAGATATATCCTTAATCATATAATGTTCATTGGCATTCTAACTCATTAAAAACAGAATATTGAGTGATTTGTTCTCTCCAGCTGAAAACAAAAACAAAATAACTTCATATAATGATGACACAAGTATCACAGAAGTGGTCTTTATCTTAAAAGATAGTTAAGAAAATAACTGCCCTGAATTCACTAGTATTTCAGAGGGATTTTTTTTTAAAACAAATACAATGAAAATTGTCTTTAGAATTTATTGACTAATATAAAACAAACTGGGCTACAAATATACACAAATCATTTAGAACACATTGCTGGTGCTCATTCAACACCATAAATTCATACAATAGCTGATATTTAGAAGCAGTTCAAACATGGTGTAGTCACAACAGATGTGTCTATATGCTGTACATAAGAGAGGCTGATTTCACCTATTCGATATTTTGACATATTGGGGAAAATGGGCAGTGGTAGAATCCTGAAACACAAGCTGCCTTAAGATCTAATTGAATTTTTGTTGCCCAACTGAATTGGAAATTTATTCAAGATTTGCAGCAGATATCAGCTATGCAGGATAACAGCTGTGGATGGTGACACATCCATTAAAAATTTGAATTTCTAAAATTCTTCATATTTGTGAAATCAGTGTACTTTATAACTTAAGAATGCATACATGTTTTGCCTCCTCTGAGACTAGATTTAGCATCTGTAAATGAGATGCAAGTAAAATGGTTGTGAGCAGATACGATCATCATGTCTTAAGTGGTGAAACCATGTGTGGGGGAGATGGTATTTTGAGGTTTACTGAACCAATTCAGAATATGTTCCTAACCTCCCACCAAATTTCTTAAAAGGGTAAAAACAGTTCTGTTTTACTGTAGTTATTTTTTTTCATACTCTTTTTTCCTTTTTATTAGACTGTTTCTAAGCACCATGGCAAAATCAAATTTATGGATTGTGTTTACTAGAGTTTACAGAGATCCACTGGGAAGCCTAGAAATCTCTGCTGATTTCCCTGCAGTCTTTGAAGCTGCATAACATAGAACCTACCCAATCTTCACAGTAATAGACGGTCTAATCCTCTGTGTAAGCTGTAGGCCAAACCTTACTTTCAACTTGAAGATAATTAGAAGGAAAGTGAAAGTGAGCATGTTCCATTAGTTACTACTCAAGAGACTGATTCTCTGAAACCCAGCTTGCCCAGTAATGCTCGGATGTTCCTGCGATCATGCTGTTTCTTGGTAGTTCATTTCTGCTGTAGGTCTTAGTGCTTGTATTATTTTAAAGAACTAATTTTATTTAAATACAAAAGGTGGTAAGAATTTAAATATTTCTAAAAAATCAATGTACTAATCATAGCTTTTTTTTTTTTTTTTTTTTTTTTGACATAGTCAAGGCTGGAGTGCAGTGGCATGATCCTGGCCCACTGCAGCCTCTGCCTCCCAGGCTCAAGTGATTCTCCAACATCAGCCTCCTGAGTAGTTAGGATTACAGGTGTGCGCCATCACACCCAGCTAATTTTTGTATTTTTTGTAGAGATGGGGTTTTGCCATGTTGGCCAGGCTGGTCTTGAACTCCTGAACTCAAGTGATCCGCCCACCTTGGCCTCCCAAAGTGCTAGGATTACAGTTGTAAGCCACTGTGCCTGGCCCCATAACATGTTTAATGAAGATATTTTTCTCATCATTATTCCATTTCCATAACTTTTTGACTGACAATATTAGTTTATATTAATAATAAGGGGTCCAGGCAACACCACTTATAGATATATGATCCTTAGAAAAGCTATATTACATATCTGGGTTTCAGTCTTATTATCTATAAACATAGAAACTAAGACTAGGTCATCTGTAAAGTCCTTTAAAAATCTCTATAATTGTGTTTATTCCATTCACTGCACTTTGAAGATAAATTTAGTAAGTTCTTATGAAATCATGAAAATACATAATTTTTAAGACAATGACATGTCTCCCTTTTAAAAGTCAAAATCTTATCCCTTCAGGTGGCCATTGGACACAACCAAAAGATAAAAATTAAAACTATTTTTAGCTTAATGAAACAACTTATATAATATAGCAGCATTTTAATAAAATATCATATTTCATTTCCATAAGGTAGGATATTTTATCCAGAAAATAATATATAGTCCATAGATTAATGTGAAGAATATTAGGAAGAAAATTATAATTTGAAGACAAAGTTATTGAAAATCCTGTCTAAATATATTATTAGCCTTTATTTTAAAATTTAAAATACAAAAAAAGTATGATACAATAACACTTAGCAACTTTAACACACATTTTTCAGTTCATTAATTCAAGAAATATTTAAAGAATACTTTGTATATGCCAGGAATACCAGACTAACAAAACTGACAAAGCCCCTGCCTTCATGGGACTTACCTTCTAGAGCATGTGATGGGCATGTTTTGGGCTGGGGAGGAGGAAGTGTAGACAGAAATAAAGAAGCAAACTTATAGATTGCCAGGTACAGGGGATAGGGAAAGCAGAAGGGAGAAGGGTTTGTCTTACTGATAATATTTGAACTGAGACCAATAAGGGGAGCTCTCTGGGGCAGAGGGAACAAAACACTAAAGCAGGAACTTTCTTGGGAGCCATACTGGGGTAAGAGGCAGAATAATAAGAGATAAGAGATGAGTCAGAAAAAGGTGGAATTGCATATGTGTGTATGTGTAATGAGTGGTATGGATGTGTAGGGGGCTATCGCTCATGAGGGACCTTGAAGGCCACTAGAGGGAGAAGTCATTGGAAGATTCTGAGGAGGGAGGTGACACAATCAAATTCATGGTTAACAGAATCAATATGGCTGTTGTACTGAGAATAGATTGTTCAAGACAAGGACTGGAAAATTAGGGAATCAAATAATAAGCATATTGCGATTAAAAAGGTCAGAGGTAGTGACACCTAGTGGATGTGGTGGCAAGTCATTCTTTTCTAGTTATATTTCAAAGGTAGCATCGAGGGAATTTGCTGATGGATTAGATGAAAGTTGAAACAGAAATAGAGGAGTCAAAAGCAACTTTCAGTTTTTGACCTGAGCATCTGGAAGGCTGAAGTTGCATTAACTGAGATGAAGAAGACTACAGAAGAGATTGGTTTGAAATAAAGTATCTGTGAATCTAGCCCCATAAATAAGGGATGAGTGCATTACAAATCCAATCATGGTTTTAACTTTTTGTACTGAAGACAATAAACATTTCTGAAAACAAATTGAATGTTAGTCATTGCTTTCTAGTGTTGGGTGTTTTATAACATTTTATGCCACGTTTTGTTAGATAATATAATGGCATGTGTTGAAGCCATCTGAAGTTTCTTTAAAAATTCTTTTCTTGCATGAAACTCGTGCAGTTTTTCTCACTATGACCATAATGACCTTTCACATATTTAAAATGCTGCTAAAATGTTTCAAGTTCAGCTTTGATGGGGTAGCTGTATTTATAAAACTTTGCCATAGACCATTTTCTATATAACATGCATTTTGACAAATCAATAAGTGGAACATATGGTATACATGAGTCCTTGAAAGCTGAAGCTTTTTCAACTTAAGGAATAATGCTGTGCAGGGTCTTTTTGCCTTACTTTAGTCAGGACAAGAGGAAATGTGGGGAGAAAAGGCGTGTAAAAATGAAAAATGGGAATTTCACATGAGGCCTCAATGGACTTGAGAGGCTGCTATGAATTTAAGGCAATGGTTCATTGCCTCTTGGGAGTCATAGCCTTCTTTCCAAGTTTGCTGTGATATATTCCCACCTCTGAAAAACATGCCCTGATATTCAACCTTTTGCTTACAATTTTAGGAATTCCACGGATTCCCAGAGAGCTTGTGGTGAGGGGTATCTACACTTTAAGAGCAAATCTGAAATGCTCCAGGTTGTAGATTCTTTCCCAGAGCTGTACTAACAAAAAAATCAAAAGAGAAAGGAATACCAGCTGAAAAAATCATTTAAGATTTTACTGACCATCAGAAAGTGTCCTCAGTTTCATTATAAAGCAGTGTACATGTAAGTGTATGTCAGAGACATAGACAGTTTGTATGTAGTCAAACTGATTACTCCTTTCTATAAGAGCTTTTTAAGTAGAGATGAGGGCCAAAGAAGTGAAATCTTCTGCTCCAGAAAACACTTCCATTTTTCTTCTCAAATTTCTCTTAGCTGCAGAGTGCATTTATAATGAATAACAAACATATATAGGGCAACTCTATGAGCATTTTAAATGATGTCAAATACAAAAACTTATTAGAAAAAATCTGATTTTTTCATTTTCATGGCTTCTGCTAATGTATTTTGAACATAAATGGTTTTAAGACGAGAAAAGAAAATGTGAATTTGGCCTAATTATAACTATGCTCCTTGGGTCATAATATATGGCAAACAATATCTAGCAGTTTAATTATGGTAAAAATTTAATGAAGGTGTGTTGAGTTTATTCCCCTGGTGATAAATTATTAGATATTGGAGCATAACACTGAAAGGTATTCTTTAATATATCAAATTAAAATGACAGTGGTAACCTAACTAAAATCTTTACGTGCAATAAAGTTAAAAATTAAATCTAAAATTTTCCCTTTCACCTACAATTCTGTAGAGCATCAGTGGCATGCCACTGTCTATAGAGTGAAAAGAAAAGGGATGGTAGAGTTTGTGGGGAGCAAAATTTTGGTTAATAATTGAGTTTCCAACATAAATTCTAGGAGCAAGATTGTTTGGCTTCAGCATGTGTTAGGAATGATTGCAACCCACTTTGAGTTCTCTTACAGTGATTGAAGTGTTGTGGCTTAGATTCATCTTGTTCCCTTCAGTGCTTCACGGAGTTCTTTTTTAATGTACTTTAAATTGAATTAAAAATTTGCCATCTTTTTTGACTTCACATTGGTTTGAATGTGATGCTTCTGTTAAGGCTCTATGAATTCAACATCCAATGTAATGTTTTTCCTTGTCTAAAACTTGGAATATTTTGTAAGAAGAATTCACCATTCAGAAATAATATGTGGCCCTATTGTAGACATAGAAATTAAACATGTTTCCATGAAGGTCCAGTAAAAAGAGTTTATAAAGAACTGATGCTATTTCATAATGAACATGATTTTATAAGGCATTTACATTCTATCACCATGACAACAAAAATAAAATAACCTCCAATTAACCCTGTGACATGAGTGCAATAAAGATTTTCCTTAAAGCAAACACAATTTGTTTTCCAAGTTGTTCTGTTGTTTAATAACAGTTTGCTATTACTTATATTTTTATGTGCTTCTTTGACCAGATACAAATTTTAGTAGGGAAATATGCAAACATTTCTAGAAATGAATTATAAACAACTGTGTTTTAGAATACTAAAATGATTTTTAAAACTTTCAACTCAGCAAAGTTAATATTTTCCCCCAATTGAAATAATGGAAAAACAAAAGCGTAGACACTTTCACGGCTTGGGGGACATGGACATCATGTGCCCAAGGTCATGTTCCTTAGCAGCCACTGTTGGGATCTGCTTCCACTACAGTCCTGCATTGTAGGCACCATTTTGTCATCTTCAGAAGGCTCATCGAGACATTGGTTACTGTTAACATGTCGCAACGTGAGTCTCTGTAAAAGATAACCAATAATCAGTGCAGCTTATTTCATCTTTAGCTTCACTAGCACATCAGATTAAATCTGTTCTTTAAAAAATCCTTTACTTTTTTTTAGTATAATACATGGTGATAGGTTTGTAAAAGGAACTGTTCACAGGTGTTCCTGGATTAATTATTATACAACGTTGACTATTATGAAGTCATCATTGTCTAGTATACCTTTATTTGCAGATGGTTAAAGAAACTGGCTGACATTTATCATGCATTGCCAAGAATTCAGGCTCCTTTGCAAAAAGCCCATTTGTGAGCTCTGAGTTCAGTTGAGGACTGCAAATATTAACAAGCTTTTGCAAAAGCTTAGTTTTCTTAGGCATGTGTTATTCAGTAACCATTTGGTAAACATGCAAATAGATGGCACAGCTGTGACCCAAATGAACAAAACTGCTAGAGATGTTCCCATTTCAAAATACTAAACAAGCTATAGTATCTGTGACTGTAAGATATTCATTGTGGAAAATGATTATCAGAGCAAAAAATAATCTGTCTTACTTGATAAAATCTTTACAATATTTTAGTCTGTATTTTTAAGAATCTTAAAAATATATCAAATAAAAACAGGGGCATGATAATCATATATTTTTAAGTGTTATATTTATATTTTAGTTTCATCATAAATTCCAATAATTGTATCATGTTAACCAGTCATTATATATATCTTCTCTTTGGCATTCTTATGTAGATTGGAAATCACAGTTTTGGACTTTTCAGATATACATTTTAAATCAACATGATTTATACATATTATTTATATATATATTTAAA